GGTGCTGAGGATCGAACCCAGTGCCTTATGCATGCTAGGCGAGCGCTCTACCACTAAGCCACCACCCCAGCCCCATTTAGAGTAATTTATTGGCCCTTCCTGAGGCAAGTTGTAAATGATCACTAAAATCCTGATACCACTTTGACACAGGTCTCTTAAATTATTCATCATGTAAAAATCCAGATTCTTCTTATTGTCCCTCCTGCTAAACAGCTTTAATACCTTTTCCTTACCAGCCAACCCAGAAAACTAAAACCTCTAATAATTTCTCCTCCTTGAGTATCCACTGCTGACTTCCCTAGTAAAGAATCTAAACAGCAGTTAACTCCGAGGAGGAGGAAGGGAAAGAAGAGCCTACAGATAACGGAGCCTATTCCATGAGACTTTTAGTCAAAGAACAGCTAACAGGCAAAACCAGAGCTGTCTGCATTCAGTGTGCCCGGAGTGGGGTGTTAGCACACAAAGGAAATGCACCTCCCTAAAGGTGGAACCAGCCACGGTGGAGCCCAGGGCAGGAGGGAGTCATGGTGCACCCTGATACAGAGAGAGTCCTATGGTGGGAAGGTTCAGGAAGGTTCCTGGAACATGCAGGGGTAGTGGTAGAAAGCACAGTGGGGCTGAGGAGACCAACACCAGTTCCCAGTCCACTAGCAACGTGGGTCACCCAGTTAGCTTCTCATCAATAACATGGAGGTGCAAACACCTGCAGAGCTCCCTTGCCGTGGGAGAGCGAGCACATGGGGAAAGCAAGCGCATGGCTTCTTGGGAATGCTACACATGGGATGAAGTGTGCTGATTTTATTATTGTTGTTCCTGTTGTCCAGTTTTGAAATTAAGTGACCAGAAATTCCCAGGGTCTTGCTGGCAGCAGCCACCACACCACCATCACAGGTCTCACCACACCTGGGCTCACTTGTTACTGTCTGAATTAACACCATGGCTGGGGGCTGCCTGCTACCAGGAGGGCGGGGCTAAGCAATGCAGTTACAAGAGGAATCAAATGCACAAGATGCTCGACCTTCTCTAGAGCAGAGTCCCCCCAAGAGCAACACACCGGGATTGCTGCATGAGGGGAACGGATGGGAAAGCAAACTCAGGGAGATACTGCCTATTTGACACTAGCATGGCAATATATTAGTCAACAAGTGTAAGTATACTGATGAATACCCTACTACTAACTGTCATCACATGGAACAGGAAAGAGATTAAGGGCAAATCTTACAAGTATGAAATGGCTAAAAATATGTACATGGAGGTGTATGTATGTGATTGAGAAAAATATATACACATACACACTAGAGTGCTGTTTCTGGGCTACACAGGAGACATCACAAGGTACTAAAAGAATAAAAAAAAAATGGGATGTAATGAAATAGTATTTAAGGCCCCTGAATGTACACTGAAGAGCTTATCCTTAGCCAATAGGTGATGGAGAGGCCCTAGACTTTAGGATAAGGTCAAATATTTTTTTATTTGGTCTTTTTAGATATATATGACAGTAAATACTTTTGATCTACTATTTTATCAGTCCAGTATCGCACAGGCTTGTGGCTGTTCCTTGGGTTTGCTGGTGTTGCCAGCATATTTATGTCTGACACACTGTCACCTATGTCACCATTAAAATGAATCCTGTGTATCTTTAAGGCAATGAGGAGGTAGAAATGAGGACTGTGAAGGCTCCAGAAGCTACTTTACTCTCGGCTGCCGGCGGTGATGGGGAGCTCTGCCTTTTACTCAGTAGGCATGTATGCAATAGCTCCTGCACAGAGTGCAAACGCAATGCCTGACGCTGGACGAGACCTTCAAAGCACATCCTGAGGGTGGAGTCACCATCTTCTATTCCTACAGAGATTTAGTAAAACGTTTCCTCAACTCATGTTTTTCTACACTGTTCTTTTAACATAACACAATAGAAAAGTTGGAATTTTCCTTTAAATAATTTCACTTTAAACTGTGTGTGTGTGTGTATTTTTTTTTTACCCCCCCCCCCCCC